AGGATAACTGAATCCCTCCAGTGGAATTATAAACCCCTTGGAAGGATATCTGAATCCCTCCAGTGGAATGTAAATCACCCTGCGTAAAGTTTTAAATTGTAAAAAGCATTTTTTTTAAACCCTCCAGTGAAAATAAAATCCCTCCGGTGGTCTCCAGTAGAATCGAAATCTTACTACGAACTTCTTTGAGTCACATATTAATCATATTTTTGTTGGGTATTATGAGCACTATCCTCAATGAGGGAGGGGGTGTAGAAGCGACATAAGCCCCGCAAAAATGACCTCCCAGCCTCCAGATTTGTAGAATGACCTCCAGGCTCCCCAAAACCGTCTAAAATATGTCGCTACATCTCCAAGTCTCCCCCATTCTGTCTCCACAGTCCACGCCCTGTATTTTGGTCTCCAATAGAGAATATTTGGCTTTTGTATCCACCAAAAACCTCTTTTTCGAAAAATCTCAGCATAATAAAATAGTTTATAACAATTTTTATTAAAAATCTCAATTTTATTGAGATTAAAGGTTTTATTTTTGTTTTTCTAAATTTCAAAATTATTCCTTAAATTTTGAGAAACTGTTTATAGGTTTGTATAAAAAATAGACAAGATTGTTTTATTATTTTACAGGGGTTTCATGAAGAACTGTTTTTTAAAAAGTTGAACAAAATATTTAAAAATAAGCTAAATATCTAATATGCTATACTAACAGGACAGGTCAGCGTCATGTCCTGTACATAAGTTAAATTAACAAGTTTAATTTACTTATAAATATTTTTTCTTTTAGTGAGTGAATTCATTTATTAGACTGTTTAGTCAATCATCTACCTTTCACAATACCTGTTACTATAGAACGGACCCTTAGTAATTTGCATTTTTATGATTAAATTTAAGGCTAAGTACTCGCAATATCTTCAAATCATGAAGTCTTCAAAGATTTTAAAGTTGTAGAAAAAGGTCGTCTTTTACACATACCAGCTTTCTGTAAACATTTTACAAAAAAAAACTTAGGATTAATTGATCGACTTTCAATTTAGATTTTGATTTACATTAAGGTTTTGAACAGCAAGAATACTCTTTAAACCTTTTCTGATCTACAATTTGGAAGACATCGTCGTTTTTCTAACTTGTGAATTGTTTGAATTCTGGCCATTTTTGCCGGTCCCTTAAAATATTGATATCTTACTCTTTTTTTAAATAACAAAGCCTAAAGGGGCCCTCTGTGAACTAAATATTACGTCTAAGTTCCTTTAGAGACCATGGACAAAGGCTTAAAAACTATTCCCTAAATTTTGATTCATAATTAAAATAACGTATACAGAATTCCCCCTCTTCTTTATATGTACATGTTGACCTTTTCGTCAAAGTTTGAGGGGACTGTACAGTTTCCCTGTACACATTGCCTATCAGCATTCTATACTCTAATCCAAAGACGATAGAATAGTAAAAGATATGGCATTAGGAATTAATCCGAACAGTGTGTACGCTCTGTACACTTTTATATGACGTCATTGGCTGCAGTATTGGTTTTAAATTCAAACAATCAACATTAAAACTCTAGTTATCAAATAAATAAATTATTGTAATTGCTAAAAATGGTGGGAAAATAATGACACGGTTATAGACTTCTAAATTTGTTTTTCTCGGTTATAGGATAGGATGCTCTCCTGTTAAAATAAAGCTAAAATTGTGATTTTGTTACGCATCTCATTTGTATGAAAAATACCACATATTTTGAAACAAAATTTGTTAGAATGTCATTAAGTATAGTTTTGTAATAGTCTAAAGCAGAATTTTAGGCCAGTAACACGTGAGCAAAGCCCGAAAAAACCTAGGTTTTAAGTAGCCAAATTTTTAAACCAATTACATTGCAGTCTGTTTTAAAATAAAGTTTATGTAAAAAGATAATAAAGTTATGCATTTCTGATGGCAATTTATGTAAAAACGCAAGTTTATAGTGATGGAAATGTTTAAAAAGTCCTAAAATCTTTTTAAATTATAGAAAAGACGACATTCTTTGGCTTCTTCTTGAACCCAATTGAGGCGTGTGGTTTTGCGTATAAATCCCAATGCCCACTTTTTATATTACAAAGCTCTTTGCTCTAATCTTTCTCCGCTAGAGGTGCTTCTCTTGAAAGGCTGAACATGTTATTTGTAAAAATTAAGAAAACTGCCTGACTGTTATCTTAATTTCATGCAGATGACTGCATAAAGCTGTGCACGGGCACAATCTCTTCAGCTATCAATGTTAACATTGACACAAACTCGTAAACTATCAATGCCAAACACGGGCACAATCTCATCAGCTATCAATGCCAACACAGGCACATGGTCGTAAACTATCAATGCCAAACACGGGCACAATCTCATCAGCTATTAATGTCAAATCAGACACAAGATCGTAAACTATCATTGCCAAACCAATGGTCACGATCTCATCAACTCTCATCAACTCTCACCGTAATCAAAGCAGAGTGTATGCCAACTGACGTGTATTTA